CGGGTCGCAACCCTGTAACGGTTGGACTTTCCGGAGCTCACGGGCACCCCTACTCGTGTGGGGTCTGCGACGAGGGCGCATCTTTGCGCCTTCCCTTAGAACCCGCGTCTGAGGGCGTGAGGATGACGGTGGTCCCCGCGGACTCGCGTCGGTGTCTTTGAGCGAATGGACAGGTCCAGAGCGGCCAGCAGGTGCCGGAGTTGAGGCCGGGAGCCGGGAGAGCGTTCTGATGAAGTTTAAGTGTTGCCGACGTCGCCGTTATTTTAAACGTCTGGGTTGATTTTTTTCCTCTTTTCCTACCTTGGTTATGACTGAGATACTGGGCGGCTCCTGGGTTCCAGTGAAACAACCGTCCAGTAAACACATCCAGTCCTGCCCTTAGTCCCGGAGTCAGGTCGCCTGCCCGGTGATGCTCTCTCGCGTCATCGGGGAGAAACAGGAAGCCGGCTCTCCGGCAGAAGCGACGGGTGAAAACGCGGGGAGACGGTTAGGTTTGCGCCTTCGCTGGGCTGATCAGTCTTGTTCTGGGACCATCTGCTCGCCTTTGCACTTGTGACGTGCATTTATAGTGCGTTTCCTCGCTTTGGGGAAACTGAGTCTCTTAGCGGGTTCTAGAAGAATCCGGCCGACGGGGAGGCCTGTACGGGGACCAGCCGCTGCGTGTGCTCTGGGCCTGGCCCCTGGGACACCGGGAGGGACATTCTGGGGAAGGGCCCGCGCTGGCGGCACCGCGACCTGCTTCTACTTGGTAGACATTTGACTCAGAACAGAGAAAAGCAGTTCGAAAACTTGTGATTTGCAACAGCAAAAGCCGTCCTGGATGCCACCCGGCCCTGGAGAAGGCTCTGAGCGGTCCCTTGGTGCTCCTGGGAGTCTGTGAGCCCCTCAGACACCCGGCCCCCTCACCCTGCACAGCGGGGTCGCCCGTGAGTCCTCCCCGCAGGGGGCAGGTGCTCCCCGTCTCTGCCTGTTTGCGTCGTTGAGTTTGTAGAGGCCACGGAGCGGCCTGGGCCTGGTTCCTGGCTCCCATCTGACCTGAATTTCTGCTCAGAGAGACACCTGACTGGGTGATGGGGCGGGCGTGCTGACCTCCCACCCCCGGGAAGGCGGCTGGGAGAGTCTGTCTCTGCAGGTTGCCTCTCCGGTGAGCGGGCGGCGGTCGAGGCACGGGTGGTGGGTGAGGCCTCTGCTCACCAGGTGCCGTGATGGGCGCAAATACGTGAGCCCCGGGCGCGACGGTGTCACACACGCCCATGAACCGGCAGCTCACAGGTGGCGTCCGGGTGACTTGCCTCTGATGCTCCGAGGCTGCGGAACACGCTGAATCGTGATATTCCAGGAATACCGGGGACCCCCAGGAATACCGGGAACCCCCAGGAATACCGGGGACCCCCAGGAATACCGGGGACCCCCAGGAATACCGGGGACCCCCAGGAATACCGGGAAGGTCCTGCCCCACGCAGGGCCCCTGCTCCGTGCTGGGAACGGGGCAGAGACAGGCAGGGAGGCCTCCACGTGTGGGGCCTTTGGTTGTGGGTCTGGTCAGCGACTCACCAGGGTCCTCTCCTTCTCCCGCAGTCGGACAGCAATGCCAGCTTCCTGCGTGCGGCCCGCGCGGGCAACCTGGACAAGGTGATGGAGTTCCTGAAGGGCGGCGTGGACATCAACACCTGCAACCAGGTAGGCGCCCGGGGGAGCGGGCCCGGGACACGCTGTGGACTGAGTTTCCTGTGGGGTCCCCAGGGCTGCGCAGGCCGCCCCCCCTACCCCCCCCAGCCAACATCTGCGGCCTCAGACGCGCGTGTCTAGGGCCAAGGCTGCCGGGATAGGAGGTCGGGAGTGGCCGTCAGCGGTCAGTCTGTCTGCGGCCGGATCCGGCCTGGTGTTCTCCTTCCATCAGCGCCGGCCAGTCCCCAGGCCCGGCGGCTTTTCTCCTCGCTGCAGGCCTGGCACGCCTGGTCACGCTGCTGCAGACGGGGACAGGGAAGTGAGAGGATAAAATAAGGAAGTCCACCCCCCCGCCCCGATTTGTTTCAGAACATGGGTCAGGGCGGGAGAGGCTGAAACCACTGGCTGAAACGACGTGTCTGAAATCTGTCCGTCACGTGCCCTCGACGGGGCTTTAGACAAAGTCTCCGTTTGGACGTTGTTGGGCTGCAGGGACGCGGAGGGTTCTGTGCTGAGCCCCTTCCCGAGGCTGTCCTGCCGGGAAGCTAAGGGTCTGGTGGCTCCAGTGCTCGGGGGGTGTGCTGAGCGTGGGTGGCACGCTGGCACGTGCATGTGTGTGCATGTGTGTGCATGTGTGTATGCATATGCACGCCAGTGTGTGCCTGTGTATATGTGTGCCTCTGTGTGCCCATGTGCACGTGTGTACCTATGTGTGATGTATGCATGTGCCTGTGTGTGATGTGTGAATCTGTGTGTATGTGTGAGTGTGTGTGCCTGTGTGTGCATGTGTATATGTGTGTGTCTCTGTACGTGTGAGCGTGTGTGTGCCTGTGTGTGTGATGTGTGCATGTGTGTGTGCCTCTGTGTGTATGTGAGCACGTGTGCACACGCTTGGCAGAGCTGCTGGAGGGACAGTCCTGGCTGATTCTAAGTGAATAGGAGCTGGTCTTCTCTGCCTTACCCCGTGGCACACACAGGCCCTGTCCCTGGTCCTGGGGTCACTCCCGTGGGCTGAGGGGGCAGGGAGCTGGCGAGAGCCCGGGGGACACTCGGCCTCAGCTGCTGACCGGCGGGGAGCCGCCATGTCCGTGACCTCTGGCAGGAGACCCGGGAAGCAGCCGCGCTTTGGCTCCCGCGTGGGTGAGGCTGGACCCTGGATCTGACCCGCTCAGCCCTGGCCCAGAACCGGCCACGCCCTTTGTCCCAAACATATGACCATGTCCTGTGTCTGCACCTCTTAGTCATATGACTTCCCACCTTGAATCTTATTGGCTGTGTTTTCAGGGTCCTTTTGAACAAATAATTTAAACGTTGGGTACTAATTAGTTACTTAATAGAGAAAGAATATCCGCGTCCCCTGTGGGCGTATGAACTACTTCCACACATGCCTGGGGGATGGAGAATGAGAGAGTTTATAATTTTCACATGTTACCTTGGATTTTTTAAAAGTAGATTAAAAACATCCCCCCAGTGTTAATGTTAATTCATTAACTGTCGCAATTTGCTAGCAAGTAGACACTGAAGCCATCACTTCATTTAGGTAGAAATTATTCTAAAAACGCCAACAGGAACCCAGGGAAGTTAAAGTTCACCTCAGTCACACCGAGTCCCTCACCCCGAAGCATAATCATAGGAAAGATCTCAGGGTGTTTTTAGAAAAAACAATTTCTCAGCAGAAAAGACTCAGTTTGCTTTATGACCAACAACGTCCTGAGTCCTCAGAGGTTGTGAGCGGCCTGACATAATGTCCTTGCCATGGCCACAGTCGCCAGCGTGTTCCAGGAGAGAACGCGCGCGCGCGTGTGTGTGAGAAGGTAGCGTGACGTCATGCAACCACACGCAACGGAGACCGGAGGCTCCAGTCCAAGCTCCTTCTCCACTTTCATGGAGTCATTGCCACCCAGAAAGTGACCTTTTTCAAAAAAATACATATTTTTATTGATTTTTATTGAGAAAGGGAGAGGGAGAGAGAGAAGCATCAAAGATGGGAGGGAATCATGGCTCGGCTGAGTTCTGCACAACCCACACTGGGGATTGGCTCACAACCCGGGCACGTGCCCTTGACTGGAATCAAACCCGGGACCCTTCAGTCTGCAGGCCGACGCTCTACCCACTGAGCCACAACAGCCAGGGCCCAGAGACTGACCTTCTAACCTCCAGCACAAGATGATAGGAATACGTTCCACCTCCCCTCCCCGGTGCATGTAGATTAGGTATGAAACGTGATAAAGGCCTTCCCGTGGGATGCATGTCATGGCCGTTGTTACTGTGCATGACTCACCAAGAACCAACAAGGGAAAATGGGCCTCCACCCAGAACAGGAGGCTGCCTCCCCCGCCACCTGCGTTTCGGTCAGAAGTGAACGTGTCGGCTGGGCGTGGTCCTTGCTTGTCGCTGTGCAGGAATGTACGTGAAGTGGGGAGCAGGGAACCGAGTGACTCACGTTGGCGAATTCGCTGCCATGTAGCAGCTGTCTGCAGAGGGCTTCACACGTGACCTTTCTGCAGAGACCAACGCGGGGTGGGCGGCATCTGCCCGGGTTTACAGCGCAGACTCCCAGCCTGTGAGCGTGAGGTGTCCCCGGGGTCACGGGCCCTGTCTGCTCCCCTGCCCAAGCTTCCTCCCGCGGGAGAACACGTCCCCTGAGATGCTCGGGTCTGCCCTTCAGAGTGTACAGCGGGTGCCTCCTCTATGTTCAGGCTCCAACCTCATGTTTTAATGTGTTTTCCTACTGATTTCAGAGAGGAAGGGAGAGGGGGAGAGAGAGGAACATCCATGATGGGAGAGTCATGGATTGGCTGCCTCCTGCACGCCCCGCACTGGGGATCGAGCCCGCAACCCGGGCATGTGCCCTGACCGGGGAATCGAACCCTGACCTCCTGGTTCATAGGTCAATGCTCAACCACTGAGCCATGGGGCCGGGCACTCCAGTCTCACGTTTAATCTCCCATTGCTCATCTAAAACGAACTCGATTCACCCTAAGATGAGTGTGGTGGGTGGCTGAAGGGACTTTCAGATCAGAGAGCACCCCCATTGGGACTGCTCCAGTCCCCAAATCCATGACCGAATAGGAAATATTTCCCAAAAAGCAATGAGACAGCTCTTGGCGAAAGGATGGCTACTTTTAACGAAGTGCAGGCTCAGAGCTCACTGGGCACGTGGAGGAGAAGGAAAGTCGCCCTGTTGTGCTGGTGAGCCCGAGATTGTGGGGGTCGTGATGCCACGCATACGCCCAGGTTGCCCTGTACCACACAGTGTTTCTCAATGAAGGTGGGCGATGCACCAGCTCCCCCAGAATGCTGCCTGCATGGGCGCATCGAGGTTCCTAGACTGAAATGTGGGTGAACATGTGTTTTCTTTATAAAATTGCCTCATAGCAACTCTGAGAATTTTGAAAGTGAATCCAAAATTACCATTTGGTTTCAAATCACTTAATGTTTATGGGGAAAATGCATACATCTGGTGCAAGATGATACCGCCGAACAAAAAACTTCACATTTTCATTTTTCTTTCCCAAATGGTTACAAATCTGCTAAGTGTTATTTTCCTGAAAAGATTAAACTAGTAACTATGTGTCTTATTAGCTCACTAGAGGCCCAGTGCATGAAATTTATGCCCTAGGGGGGGGGGTGTCCCTCAGCCCAGCCTGCACCCTCTCCAATCTGGGACCCCCTGGGGGATATCCGACTGCCGGTTTAGGCCCGATCCCACAGTCAGACATCCCTCTCACAATCTGAGACTGCTGGCTCCCAACGGCTCGCCTGCCTGCCTGCCTGATTGCCCCTAACTTTCCTCCCCTACAAGCCTGGTAACCCTCAAATGCCCTCCCCTGCAGGCCTTGTCCCCCCTACTTTTCCCCCTTGCAGGCGTGGTCACCCCTAACTGCCCTCCCCTGCTGCCAGATCACCCACAACTGCCCTCCCCTGCCAGCCATCTTGTGGTGGCCATCTTTGACCACATGGGGAAGGCCATCTTTGACCACATGGGCACAGCCATCTTGTGCGAGCTCATGATGGTGAATATGCATATTACCTCTTTATTATATAGGATACCTATGACAAAGTTTAATTTACAAACTAGACACAGTAAGAGATTAACAACAATAACTAATAATAAAATAGAACAGTTATAATAATATACTCTAATTACAGTTATGTGAAGTGGCGCCTCTCTTTCTCTCCTCCCCTCTCTCTCTCCTCTTTCTCTCTCTCTCTCTCTCTCTCTCCCTCTCTCTCTCTCTCTCTCTCACACATTATCTTATAATAC